ATCGCCCCCCAGGAAAGGGCGGGAAGGCAGGCGCTCAGAGGGGCCCTCCGCGACGGGTGGGCAGTCAGGAGCGGGAGAGCAGCTGCCTCTAGGCTAGCCAGGCTCCCCGGGGGGGGCTCCCACCCACCTGGCACCCACCTGCTGCTCCCGCTTACAACTGAGAAACCTGGTGACTTCCTCCTCCAGCATGGGGCTCTCGCTAACAAACTCCACCCGTGAGCCAAGGCCCCAAGAGCGTGATGACCGACACCTGATGCTGCTGGCGGGGAAGATCCCAGAACAGACCCGAGCCCAGCCCGTCCCCGCTCCCGAGGGCTCAGAACCTCCTTCCCACTCGGGTCACGGTGCCGGCAGAACCTGCAGCGCCTCATTCACTCCCCAGAGAACCCTGCACAACTCCCGTCCGACAGAGATCTCCCAAGCCGGCCGTGTGTGCAACGGCCCTTCCCTCCAAGCCTGCAAAGAGGACAAGGAAGAAAACGAGCAAGTGTTTTCTCTGGCTGACTTCAGCGCCTGCTCTGGTGTGGGGAAACGCGTCTGGGTCCTCAAGGCGGCTCCTGGGAGAGGCTTCCGCTTTCTTCCGGGTCGAGCCTTGATTATTTGAGGAGAAACCACGGAACCGAGGAGGAAGCGGTGTGGGCTTGGGGGAGAAGCGGGCTGCCGACCACACAAGGCCCGCAGGGGAGAGGCCTGGGAGAGGCAGGAAGCCCCTCAAACTAAAGCTGCAGGCGAAACTAGAGTTCCCTCACATGGGCCGGGGGCTTCCTAGGTGTCGGGGGAGAGAGCTGGCCGGTGAGAAGCTGCATCTTCCCGGGCTCGCTCTTCCCGCCGGGTCCTCCCTTACCTTGCCCCCTCTTGCTGGCCTCTAGGTTTCTCTGCTTGCCTAGTTCCACTCCAGACAAGCCCCCTTTCTCTCCTCTCAAGTCTAAGTAAATTTCGTTCAATAAAAACAATCGTGCTGATGGGGCTGGAGAGATAGCGCAGTGGGTAGGGCGTTTCCCTTGCACGTGGCCGACCCGGGTTCGATTCCCAGCTATCCCATATGGTCCCCTGAGCACCGCCAGGAGTAACTCCTGAGTGCAGAGCCAGGAGTAACCCCTGTGCATCGTTGGGTGTGACTCAAAAAGCAAAAAAAAAAAAAAAAAAAAAAAAAAACGTACTCTGTGTTTATGTTCACGCGTGCGCATGTATACACACACACACACACACACACACACACACACACACACACACTGAACAGCAGGGACGCCCCACAGACAGGATTTCTGGGACACCAAAGGGCATCAGGGAGACGTGGTGGTGTGACGGAGGCCCTTGTTTGCGGCCGCCACAACTGTGACCCTCTGGATCCCTGACAGCCTTCACCAAAGTGTCCCCGGGGTTGTCCGAGATGCAACACCCCAAAGGAGCCTCCTGAGACCGGGCTGGCCTCTGCCAGCCCCAGTCGGGTCACACATGTCATCTATGTGCTCCGGCTTTCTGCCACAGATTCTGAACTCGGGGCTCCACACGGCGTTCCCGTAAGGCGGCTCTCAGGCTTCTCTCCTAACTTGCCCTATGGCGCCACCTCTTCCGAGCCAGATTGGCTGCAGACCTTGGGGCCACTGAATCTTTTTCAACGGCCCACGGGAGAAGCTGGTCAGCGTACACGGGACAACCACATCCCACGGGAGCTCGCCCCAGGTGAGCCCTTATCTGAGTGATGACACTGCACGCAGGACAGCTGGGATGGCAGCGTGACAAGAAACGAGGGAGGACCAGCAGGGAGCACGCAGTTAGGGTGCGCTTCTCAGGGGGATGACGGGGTCGAAGCGTCAGGATGTCATGGCACAGCGGGAGAGAAGGCCGCTGCAGGGAAAGGCAATGGAACACGCACAGGTTTGCCGTGGCCAACACAGTTGCCACGGTGCATGGGTGCGGCTGGAGTCGGGGTTCTCGGTGACCTTGGGGAGTGCGTGGGGCAAGCCGGAATCGGGGTTCTCGGAGACCATGGCTCAAGGGCATCATTCCCTACCTCCCACCAAGTCAGGAATGCTGGGTCCCTTCTGTCCCCTCTGGCTGGGATGTCTGCAGGGTCACCTTCTTGTCCCTGCACCTGTGGCTTCCTCAGACTCGCCTGTCCCTGGGGCTGCTCGGCCGGGAGGTTCCTGGGGCCAAGCCGGCCCCCTTCCCCTCGCCTCTTAACTTCCAGCATCGTTTCCCTCCTCCAGAGGCCCGTAGGGTGCTCGGCTCAGCTCGGCACTGCAGCAGCCGTCACAGGCCACTCCCCTGTGCGCCCTCACACTTGGACCCCGGCGTCACCACCTGCGGTCCCCACTCACGGGCGGCAGCTCCTGCAACCTTGGTCCCCCGCGGTTGGTGACAGCGACTGACCCACGAAAACCGCTGTGGGGCTAGACAGCAGGATTTCCTACCCAGAGATGCTCTAGCTCTTCCTCAGCTTGCCCTGCCAGAAACGGAGCCCACCCTCCCCCCCCCCCGCAACCCCCAGCAAACAGGAGCCGCAGCCCTGACCTCCCCTGAGATCTGCAGGGTCACACGCAAACCACATGGTGCCGGCCACAGGCATCAGAGGCTGGAAACCCCTGACCTAGCATCGGTGCGTGGCCTGCAGAGGGGTCACTCTGGGGGGCTGTGAGGCGGGCTGGGGGTGGAGAGAGGAGCCACGGGCCCCTGGCCACCCTGGGGTGTCTGGGTTCCTCCCGGGACCCGTGCTGGGTTTGGGAAAGCACCACTTCTGATTGCAACCCCACTTTTAGTGAATGAGCTCAAGGCGGCACTTCATTTCTTTTTATCTGTTTAGGGGCCACACCTGCAGCGCCCAGGGGTCACTCCTGGCTTTGCGCTCAGGAATCACTCCTGGCAGTGCTCGGGGACCCTGCGGGATGCCCGGGATTGAACCCAGGTTGGCTGTGGGCAGGGCAAGCGCCCTCCCCGCTGCACTGTTGCTCCGCCCCCGGGGGCTCCGTTTCTGAAACTCCGATTTACCCGTGACATTCTGTACAAATCCAGCAGTGGGTCCAACCCAACGCAGAAACCAAGGACGCTCGTCCTGGCGTCTTCAGTAACAGGCCCCGGGGAAAGGAGTCCGACGGGGACACTGCATGAGCACTGGGCGCGTCAGGAGGACACACTGCGGGGTTAATCCAGACGCGTCCCCCTGGCAGGCCGGCTCTCACACCAGGGAGCGCTGCCTCCCCGCTCCTGGCCAGAGCCTGGCACAGAGCACCGAGGAAACGCGGGCTGCAGGCACGGCGTGTTCTGAGTGGGAAACAGTGACCTCAGCCCCTAAAGATCAGTAACTGATAGCCAGAACAAAACGGCCAGGCGACCACCAACACGCTCACTCGACAGCTGCGGCCCCACCCGCCAACTTCCTCAGCAAAACCCGCCGCGTCTTGTCTGCATGCGGAGACGCGGTTTCTCACGGGGTCTGCAGGGTTTTCTCCCACATGAACGCCTGGAAGCCTTTGGGAAAGGCTGTATGAAGGGGGTCCGGCCCTTGCCCCTGTAAGGACGGGACTGCGGGACTGTCATATTTCCCACAGGCCTGCTGCCGGGCTCTTCTGCTAAACAGCGCCCTGCTGACCTGCAGGCCTGACCCCTGAGAATGACGCGCGGGGTGGGGGGGGGGAGGGGGGAGGGAGAGCGCACGGAGAGGGCCTGATGACGTCACAGCGACGCGGTGGCAGGAACCCGCAGAGGCAGCCTCGGAGAAGCTTCCCGAACTACACCCTCCCGCCCGGGCGTGCAGGAAACGCTCTAATCAGGCCCACAATGGGCCCTGTCCCGGGCAGATAAGGGCCGGGCTGGATTTCCGCTCCCGTGTGGGGCCTCCCCTCCTCCTGGGGTGCCGGGCACCGTCAGCGGGGCAGGTGGCCCGGCCAGCCCCGAGCCTCTGGGCGGAGGCTGAGAAACTGGCACACTTCTGAGGACGACTCTGTGGGGCTCAAGGGGCTGACGTCACTCTTGGACGGCGGGTCGGGCTCGAAAACGATGACTCTGCAATCACCCACTCGAGAACAAACGGAGAGAGTCCGACTGCTCCGAGAGGCCCCGAGAGCGCAGAAAGCCGGGGTGTCCCCCTCGCATGGGATGGCGCTGCGTAAGCCGCACAGTGTGACACGCAGATTCATCTGGGCTCATGCCACTGACCAGCGGCAGAGGGGAGGGCAGGTGCCTGATGACAGCAGCCCATGGTGGCTGGTCACCGAGCACTGCCCAAGCCGGACGGAGAGCCGAGGGCCAGGACTGGCTCTGTGGAGCCCGCACGCCTTTATGCTCACCCACTCGCGGGGAAGCACGGAGCAGACGATGCCCAGAATAACGGGCTCCCGTCCCCGCCCGCTACTGGCCACTTCAAACGAAGAGCCCTCTAGGGAGGAGGCGGGCGAGCGTGTGACCAGGGCTCTGGAGGCTCTGCAAGGAGGAAGCTATATCCCCGAGGGACTGGTAAAAACACGGGGCCTTGGACATGCTTTTGGCAAGGCGACTCTGTTTTCCACGCCATTGGAAGAGCCTCTGAAGATCGGTGCCCAAACCGTCATCCCCACATGCCTTCCCGGGTGCGAGCCTGGCCTCCCTGACATACCCGGGCTGCCTGCATATTTTATCACTCGCATTGGAAACGAGGAGCCTGATTATTCAAGGCAATAAATTCCATGCAGTTCACGAGTACAAACAGGACTCAGGACAGGAAAGATGCAGAGGCTCACAATGCACTTATATTTTTTATGCCAAACCAAACCAAAACAAACAAATACCACCCCCCACCCCCCAAAAAAACAACCCAAACCCCAAAAGGTGATTACCTGACAACTCAATGAATCCCCTGGTGACTGGCTGAGATTGGAGCTAAGGGCACTTTCTTAAGAACCAGAACTCAAGTATGCCAAACTCCTAAGCTTTTATAAGGCAATGATAAAGGTAAAGACCAAAAGCTGGCGGGAAGCCCCCCCGGAGTCCTGCCCGGGCTGCGCACCCCAGCAGGGGTCACTTACCCTAACGCGAAATTGCTGTCCTCCCTCCAGTCCACGATACGGCAGATGAACAGCGTGTTGGCGTAATCCTTGGGTCGGCTCACCAAGTCCTGGGGACAGTCCTTGAGAGGCACGTACACCCGGGGGACGCGGTGGTCCACGGGAGAAAACAGGGCGTATTTCCGGAACAGGTCGCTGTTCTTATCGGCCAGGAGCTTGAGGAAGCCCGTCGCCGCCCGCGAATGTTTCTTCTCGACGATGTAAACCACCTGCAAGCCCAGAGAACAGCCCGGCGGTCAGGTCAGCGGCCGGGAGCCCGGGGAAGCCGTCTCCACGGAAGCCACCAGAACCTTTGTTGAGTTTTTAACTTTTGATTTTTTTTGGTGGGGTGGGGTGAGGTTCTGGCCACACCCAGAAGTGCTCGGTGCCTATTCCTGGCTCTGGGTGTGGGACTCACTCTGGGACGTGTTCGGGGTACCCTATGCGGTGACAGCGCTGGGGACTGATGCTGGGTCGGTCACATGTGAAGCGAGCACCTGGTCTCCCACACTCTCCTGCCACCAAGGCGAGATTACGGACACACGCACACACATGCTGGGCTACAACCGAGACCTACGTCTCTGGGGTGTGGAGAAGGGGGAGCGTCGGCCCACGCCCGCCGGTGCTCGGGGCTTACTCCTGGCTCTGTGCGTGAGGATCACGCCTGGTGGTGCTGGGGGGACCCTATGTGCTCGGTGGTGCCAGGGAGCCGAGTGGGGTACGCCACATGCAAGACCAGCATGTCAGCCCCTGCGCTATCTTTCCAGCCTTCCAAACCTAGAAGTCAGACCCCTGACATTTCCTCCACAGACCACAGCACTGTCTCCAGGAAACAAGGAAACAGTTGCTTTTTCAAGTACCCCTCCTGCCGTGACGAGGCCCTAGAGCTGGCTCTGTTCACTCTCCGTGTCTGCTAGCGACTATCCAGCCTGCCTCCTTTCTCCCTCCCCGAGACGCTCCCGGGCTCTGTAAGGCTCTGGCCGGGCAGTGGGTGCCTCAGCCCTTGGGACCCTCCACGGCGCTCGCCATGAACACCTTCATTGTATCACTACTCCAGCCCTGAACGCAAGCCACAGGCCCGTGAGAACAGAGAAACGGCAACCGTGTGTGTCACACCACACACTCATGTCCTTCAACGCTGCCAGGGCTGCCAATCTTGGAGGGAATTCTGAAACGCTCTCCGATTCCCGACAATCTATCCTTTCAGACCCGCTCTCCCGATCCTCTCCTGACTCCAATTACCTGAAAATGGGATCTCTTTCATTGTCCCCCAATTGCAGGAAATGGTCTTTTTTTCCCTCTCATTCTATTTTCTCTCTGTCAAATTGGGTCAGTTCCAGTCACTGACCTCAGATGAACTATTTCTATGCCGAATCATCTCTGATCTGTTAACAAGTATTTTATTTGCTACTCTACTTTTTTCAGTGCTCAAAATCCCAGGTGGGATTTGGTTCTTTTTTTCCCTTCCCAGCACCAGGAGGGTCGCAGGGCCAGGACTGCAGGCAGGGACGGGCCTTGGGTGTTTTGGGGGTGGAAGTATTTGTCACCCACGCATGAGCTGGCAATAGAAGCGGTTTGGTCACAGAGGGAATCCTGCATACCTGTGCTGTTTGGCAAAACCTTATGAAGACAGGAAGACCAGGACCAACAGCGAGCGAGGGCCCCACCGAGCAGGGCCGGAACCGCAGGCACGGGGCCCAGGACCGGCGCTGCCTCCACTCTGCCAGACACGGCCCCTTGGGAAGGGGCCTTGGGATGCCTGACATTCTGTCTGAGCAGGAAGAGCCAGAAGCCAGGGCCTCTATGCGGACATCCCCGCTCCTCACTTCGAACGGAAGCTCCTGAGGCCGGAGGGAACATGTGGCACAGGTGGACGAGGCACTGGCCTGCAAGGCAGATGCCCCCGGGCACTCCACTCTCGAGGGGCTTCCATCCTGCTGACATGGAGCATTAGAGAACCGGTGGGAGGGGCTGCAGCGTGTGAGTAGGACCTAGAAGCGCCCTGAGGAGCACGCGAGGCACCATCCCGACCGGAGGGGAAGTCGCCCTCCCGGATCTGAGGGATCCTCCTTCACCAGAAGCCATGGCAGAGCTGGACATGGCTGCGGGTGTCCCCAGGAGGAAACACAACTCTGTGAATTACAGGCGAGGGGGCAACACAACTGTTCCTACAACTGAAACAATCACTTTGGGAAAACAGTCCAAGGGCTTTGAAAACCCGACTTTTGAATTATTGCGGGCACGACAATAAAAACTCACAGCAAAAACTAAAACTCTAGGAGGCGTTTCATAGAGTTTCATTTCCATGGTGCTTCGTCGTGGCTAAATTCTTACTGCACTTGAAAGAAACAAAACTGGAAATTACGGATGTCGTCATCAAGTCTAGGGATCAGGAAGGGAGCTGAAAATTCTGGAGCACATACTTTGGATGTGGGGGCCGTGGATTTGACCCCAGCACCACTTGGTCTCCCAAGCACAGCAGGTGTAGCACTGAGCCAGGTGCAGCCCTCAAGAACCACTAGCCTGTGACCCCAAAAACCAGCGAAAAAGGAAAGATGAGTGTGACTGAAGTTAAAAAAAAATTACAGGATTTGGGGCTGGAGCATCGATAGCACAGCAGGAAGAGCATTCGCCTTGTATGTGGCCAACCTGGGTTCGATTCCCAGCATCACATATGGTCCCCCGAGCACCGCTAGGAGTAATTCCTGAGTGCAGAAACCCCTGTGCATTGCCGGGTGTGACCCAAAAAGAAAAAAGAAAATTACAGGATTTGCATCAAAACAGCCCCATGGTCCAAGAAAAGGTCTTGGTCCTTCCCATACAGACAGGAAGATAACAGAGAGGCTTTTTTTTTTTTTAAGGTTCACTTTTTGGATTTGTTTCCACTGATTTTCTGATCTGCTGACCACAGACAGCCCTAACTGGGTGGCAGGGGACCTCTGACAAGGAGCTCCGCGAGAGCCAGAAGCCATGTGGTGAGGACCTGGAGCCAATGACCTTTGCTGATCTTTGCGGGGCCTTCTCCGGAGAAGCTCCCATGTCCAGTGCCGCGGTTGCGCCATCGTCGCCGGCGGCACGTGCATCTGCATCTTCTTTCCCTGGATGTGAAAGAAAGAGACGAGGAGCCATCAGCTACCCAGGCTCGGGGCTCTGACATTTCAGAGCAGGGAGGGTTCTTGCAAACCAGTCACTCCGGCCCACTCATTCTTCAGGAAGGACACTCAGCAGGACCACAGGGTTGGCAGGACTCGGCTAAGGTCAGTCGCGTCACGGGACACACTGTATCTACTTAACCTTATTCACAAGTTAAACATGACTCTCGAGTGGAAAGCATCAAACCTGATGAATTGCAGTGGCCTCTGTGTCAAATGTCAAAAACCCAAGATGCTAAATACTGCCTGGCCCACACGAAGAATAGATAGGTTAATTTATACACATCTGTGAAAATGAAGCATAATAAAAACAGATGTCGATTTTTAAAAGTGCACTGGTACCAAATATAACAAGCAAAATGGTGGAAAACAGATGGAAGAGAGTGATTTTCCTAGGTTTTCTTAGAGAAGTTCTATGAAGTGGAGTACTTAAAAGTCTTTCAATATTTCATTTCCTTTTAAATAAAAAAAAAAGACCTTAATAAAGCTCATTCACCCAAGAAGCTGTAATCACATCTCCCCTGTAGAAGGGAGGGGTGAGGCTTTATACCCGCCGCGTTCAAAGCACTCGTGAACAAAAGCAGTGAATTACACACTTCTACACCATTAACATGTGTTTTCATGTGTCGCAGTAAATTTCCCTCACAAAACATTCTCAGTCACTATACAAGAGTTTCTGGATTCCAGGGTTCAAGTAGTTCACGTGGGAGCCCCTCCTGGTAGCCCAGAGAGACTTGTCCGCACCATCACTTAGATGTGACCACTGCCAAAATAAACAGAGGGACCCTTTCCAGGACTGGCTGTCCCTCAGAAGGCTCCTGAAAGCCCCTTGCACCCCAGGGGGGAGGGGCTTAAGAATGAGCTACCGCAGGGAGGGCACCTTCCTTGCATGTGGCTGACCCGGGTTCGATCTCTGGCATCCCATATGATCCCCCGAGCACCGCCAGGAGTAATTCCTGAGTGCAGAGCCAGGAAGAACCCCTGAGCATCGCCAGGTGTGACTACCCTCCCCCTCACACACCCCAAATGAGCAACTGTCGGCTTCTCCTAGGAGAAAACCTTCCTGCCATAGTACTCACTGGCTCTGAGAAAGAAAACTCAAACAAAAATGTCCTGGCCGAAAAGAGGGATGTCACCAGGCTCAACTGGTACTTTAGATTGAACTCCAGTACTTTAGGCTGGAGCTCAAGGACCCTCATTACCAGAGGCTTCTGATACCTCTAATATTCCTGGGAGGAAAATCCTGAGCAGCTGATCCGTTCCCTAAGACGTGCTGCCCACACGTTCTGGGAGGGAACGCAGGGAAGGCGGGACAGGAGAGCCACCACGAACGGTCAGCCTGCAACCGGCATCTGTCTGCTGTCCGAACTGGGGCTCAGGAACTGGCTGTCCGATGTCAGGGAAAATGAAGTCATGACATTTGCCTACAAATGGATGGACATGGAGAGTATCATGCTGAGTGAAATGAGTCAGAAGTCAAAAGGAAATCAGTTACAGAATGATTGCATTCATTTGTGGTATAGAAAAAAAATATGTCTATGGTAGAAGAATAATATCCAAGGCCAGGGAAAACGGGTTAAGAGGACTGGTCAATGGTTGGAACTGACCGCAAGTGTGTGTGGGGCTGAGGGTAGGTAAGACAGAGAAGCGACGAGTAGGACAATCATAGCTGGGAATGATGATGAAGGACAAGAGCTGAGGGTTAAAAGTAGGTAAGGGATATTCTGGATAACCTTTCAGTATCAATACTGCAAACCACAATGCCCAAAAGGAGAGAGAGAGAAAGAGAGACAGACAGAAAGACAGACAGACAGAAGAAAAGCGCTTGCCATAGAGGCAGGCAGGAGGTGGGGGTTGGTGGGAGGGAACCTGGGGACACTGGTGCTGGGAAGTGTCCACTGGTGGAAGGATGGGTGTGGGAATACTGTATGACTGAAATGCAATCATGAACAGCTTTGTAAGGGTCTACCTCACAGGGATTCAATAACAAATTAAAAAACTAAAAAAAAGAACTGGCTGTGCGACAATGCAGTGCGGTTTTCTCAGGCGAGCCCAATCCAGGTGCAACGTGCTGTGCAGGTCGCAGAGGGCCCGTCTATAAAGTGACCCCTGCTGCAGACTCTCCATGTACAGCAAGGCCGGGTGACAGAGAGGGCCCTGTGACATCATGGGCAGTCCGCCCCCACGTGCCCTCTCAGGTCCCGCGTTCAGAAGCAACGAGCAGGAGCTTCGACATCTGCCTGCTCTGGTAGCAGGAGCCGGACGAAGAGTCTCACACGCACGGGCCATGAGCCCGACGGCTGAGCTGCACCTCAGCTCTGAAGTGAAGCTTCTCCCTGCAGGCCACACCATAGCCAAGTTCACCAGGCCTGCGGGAGCACGCACGGGAGCACGGACGGCTGAAAAGGGGAGGCGTCAGGAGCTGTCCAGCCCCGACTTGCCCCTCAGACTAGCACAGCTGCCAACCGAAGAGAACCTACCACCACGTTTAATCATTTATTTGTCCATTCATTGTGGGTGTATTTATTGATAACTACAGGGCAGAGAGGATTCAGGGGTCCTCCAAGCCTTAAGAACAAGTTTAATGAAGGAGTGATGGTCAACACTGTCACTGTCACTGTCCTCCTGCTGTTCATCGATTTGCTCGAGTGGGCCCATTTTTTTTTTAAACTAAGATAGTGTGATAAATACATGGAGAAAGAGGAAAGACTGCCTGGCTGAGACCAGGAAACATCATCTATGCCAAGACACAGTGGAGTCTGCAGGAGTGAGTTAGGGGACAAAAGAGCCAGGTAGGGGAAAGCCTGGGAAAGAGCTGGAGATGGTAAGTCCTTAATCCAGGCTGGAGAACAACAAGAATGGGCACGGCAAGAGACCAGAAGGGACGCGGGGCCTACCAGGGTTAAATCTGAAGCCAACCGGAAACCGGATAAAGATTTCATACTAGATAGTGACACTGGCAGAGGTGGGATTAGAGCAAGCTCAGAGGAGACTGAATGAAGAGCGGGAGAGGCTAAGGGGTCCCGGGCATCCTAGAAACTTGCACCGAAACAGACTGGTTGGCCACCCTGACTAATGCAATAGTTCAGACTGTGATGCTGGTCTGGAGGCAGGACCGAAAGGACCCGTGCAAGTCGCATTCGGGGACTGAACTGGCAGCCACTGGTGCGGAGGAGCTCTGTGAATTTCAAGAATTATTTTCAGCCTTCTGCCATCTGTAGCTAGAAAGGCTCGCGGGAAGGTACAAAGAAAGTTCTATACGGAACGTGGTTCTCGGTAAGCCCATTAAGGGATGGTGTGGAATGACCAGTTCAGTATGAAGTGACGCTGTGAGTCTCAGCGAGGGGCTCTGGACCGTGGCCTTACATGCAGCGTGCATGTGGGGCACCGTCCTAGGACCTTGGAGAAAAGCCGCAGGGAGCGCCAAGCACACCCCCAAAGCTCTTCCTCCACTGTACGTTATAGGAAGAGCCGGCTGGCCCCGGAAGGAAGCATAATCGACGACCAATTCTGGGCTCAGGAGCGTCCCGAAGCTTCTGAGAGTGCAAAGGGACTTGAAAGGGAAAGCGAGAGCAGAGAGAGCACTGGATACAGAGAGGACACATACGAGACGAACTGCAGCTCTCAGCAGGTCAGAGGCACGAGCTCGGGGGGACGTGTCTGAAGACAAGAACTGCTGAGAGACCGCCGGGGTCCCGAGGCGCCCCTGAACTGCCTCTGCCTCTTTACTGTCTTGGTCCCTCTCTCCCACAACCACGAACCTCCTCTAAAAAGGACAAAAATGGAAACAAAACCCTGCTGTGACATTTATTTATTTAACTATTTTGTTCTCGTTTTTGGCAAGTGCCCTATACTCTCTCCCTGGCCCCCAAGAACGCTGCCTTTAGCTGAGTGCGCGAGCTAATGGGTGACAGTCCTCAGCCTTCCCGCGGCTAAGACTCGGACCACGGGGTGGCGTCAAGCGTCTAGGTGTCCCTCGGAGCAGCGGCTCAGTCTCCCCCCTCTGGCTTCCTCCACAGGCACGTGAGAGGTGGGCCTCAAACCCTCATCTTAGGCCCGGAGGCTGAGCATGGGGAGGCTGAGCAGAATCTAGCCATGAGGATGGGCACAGGGAACATTCTGGAAACAGAAACCATTGCAGTGGAAACACTCCCAAGAGGAAAAGGAGCAAGTGTACAGTCACAGCTGTGAGGGCCGGATAGCACAGCAGGCAGGGTGCTTGCCTTGCATGCAGCCGGCCCAAGTTCGATCCCTGGCACCTTGCCAGGAGTCGTGGGCACAGAACCAGGAGGAAGCCCTGAGCACTGCCGGGTGTGGCCCTCAAACCCATAAGCAAATAAACAACTATGAGTGAACTGAGAAGGGAGACGGGTCAGCGTGTAGCTCCAGGCGCATGACCACGGAGGGCCTCCAAGGACACGCTGAAGAACGCGCGTGTTAGAGCTGGGGCTGGCACGGCCTGGCCGGTTTAGGAGGAGATGAGAAGGGGGAACCCCTCACGCCTCGCATCCCCTTCTCCAGCTGCTGCCGAGATCAAAAGACTCGAGCTTTGTGCTGTTTCTCTTGGTGTTTCCAAACAAGCCAACTTGACTTGCGGCCACTGGTCTTCTTAAATACGCAAACTGGTGCCTCAGCTGTTATGGGGAATCCTGGTCACAACTCATTTCCCGCCTCCTCCTCTTGGGCGCCAAAGACGTTCCTGGAGCTCCCGGACTGCTCTCTGCCATGTCTGGAGCCCTGGCCACGTCTCTCTTTGTTGCTCTCTGGTGACTGTTTCTTATTCGCTTCAACTTCGTTCGCTTTCTCTTTAGCTTTATCCGATTTTCTGCTACACCATCCATGGTTTCTTCTTTAAACAATTTCATCAAAGAGACCTTTTCTGATCCAAGGAGGCGTTTCGGGCTTTTGTTCGGGGTCACACCTAAGGCGGGTAGGGGGCGCTATTT